GGAGCTGCCCCGGGCAGCAGAACTGGACCGAGGGGCGGGAGGAGACCCTGCGGTGCCGGGCACGGGGCAACCCCCGGCCCGACGTGAGCTGTGCCAGGGACGACGGGCAGAACTTCCCGGCCGGAATTCCGCGTCCCGTCAGCCGTGAGGACGCCGGCACCTACCGCTGCCGGGCCCGAAACAGCCTGGGCGGGGACGAGAGAAGCGTCACCGTCACCGTCCACTGTGAGCGGGGCGGCCCGGGGGGCTCCGGGGGGGGCTCAGGGATTTTTGGAGGCTCCTGGAGGTTCTGGGGGGTCTCGGGGATTTTTGGGGACTTCTGGAGGTTCTGGGAGGGTCTCAGGGATTTTTGGGGACTCCTGGAGGTTCTGGGGGGGGTCTCAGGGATTTCTGGGGACTCCCAGTCTAGGGGTTTTGGGGTTCCCAGAGGTCTTGGTGGTCCCAGGCATCAGTGATGGTCCTGGGGGTCTCGGGGGTCCTGAGGGGTCTTAGGGGTGTTGGGGTCCTGATGGTCCTGATGGTCCTGGAGCTCTCAGGGGTCTCAGGGACCCTCAGGAATCCCGGTGGTCTCAGGAATCCCGGTGGTCTCAGGAATCCCGGTGGTCTCCAGCGCCCTGAAGGATCCGAGTGTCCTGGGGGGCCCTGGTGCTCCCGGGGGGTCTCGGGGGGTCCCATCCCATGGCGATCTCAGCCCCCCTGACCCCCCACCCCCTCTCCCCCCCCCAGACCAGGACCACAACGTGCTGGTGCCGGTGCTGCTGGGGGTGCTGGGAGTGGTGGTGGTCTCCGCCTTGGCCTGGGGCGTCCACAGGATCTACCACAGCAAGACGAAGGTCGGGAAGTACCGGCTGCAGGAGCAGCAGGAGCGGCGGCGGCGGCAGATGGAGATGGGGCAGGCGGGACCCCCGGGCTGCTCCCGGGAGGTGGCCGCGCTCAACGGCTCCGCTCCCGACGCTCCCGGGGCTCCCGGGGCTCCGTAGGCGGGAGGAGGAGGCGGTGGAGGGGCTGGAAGCCCCCTGCCCATCCCGGGACGGGACCCGGGGAGGGGACGGTGACGGTGGGGATGGTGACAGCGGGAGCCGCGGCGGGGTGGTGGCTCTGCAGGGGGACCGTCCCCGGGACAGAGGTGGCAGCTCCCAGGCCGGGATGTGCCGGGCCGGGAGGGGCATCCCGGGAAGTTGGGATGGTGAGATCCCACCGACCCCCCCCGTGTCCTGGATCTCCGGGGATCTCCAGGGATGGCTCCAAACTTTACCCCTACCTGGTTTTTGGGTGGCCGGAGCCCCCTGCCAGGGTGACACCAGAGGGGCTCGGAGCTCCAGGTGGGACACGTGGGTGAAATCCCGGGATTTCGGTGCCGGCAGGAGGGCGAGGAGCCGGAGAGGAGGGATGTGAAGCCACCAGAAAGGGTGGAAGCTGCTGTTGTTCTGTAATAAACCCACAAACGCTGTGTGTGACCC